CTATGGGAAAGAAAAGCTAGGAAGAAAACTGAAATGGAAAGCATGGTAACTAATCCAAAGTCTATCACTCACAGATAGTTGAGGTGAAAATCAAAGCTAGGTCTTCTGATTCTGTGTATTTCATTCTAAGCAGTAGTTAGAAACCCCTCAGTTCCAAATGTTTCAACTCTATTTTCATATTCCTTTCTATGTCTTTCACTATTTCTCGGCATCATGCTCAAAATTTAGAAGTATATTAGATTTTTTAATGGCATGTTTACTTTCAATAGCAAGATTAAGTTGTATTATGGTAAGGAAAAGATCATAATGGTAATAATTTTGATTATTTAGGGAAGGAGAATACTCCAGATCCTGTACTCCATGTACTCAAGGAATACTTTCAGAATCAACAAGCACTGAGGTCCCTTGGGAGGCCCAAACTTCAACTGTACATAAACCACGGTACCCAATCCTGACTTGTACCCCACATCTTAAAAAAAAAAAATTCAACAAGCAAAATTTAGGTAGTTTAAGTATATGAAGGATTACTTAGAAAGAATGAAAAGAAATTGAATCCAACATAAAACCCATTCAACAAATATTTTTCAGTGCCTACTATGTGACCATTTGAGGAAAAAAATTCTGGGGACTAAACAGCTGCCCATAAATCTGTACTATAACATATGTAGCAACAAAGATAAGTGATTTAGCTTGCAAAACATGTTCAGAAAATTCCCTTGTGATCAGTATTGGGTCTCATATGACTATTATATATCTTTAGACCCCATAGTTTGCAACAGATTTGGAAAACAAAGATATGCTCAAAGGACCAGCCAGAAAGATTGTTAAGTGGGTTGAAAGGGAGTATTTCTAGAAAAAATTTAATAAAACACCAATTACCAAACCCAAACAAGTCATAGTTGAGTCCTTTTCAGAAAGTATTCTTTGAGTACATGGAGTATGGGATCTGGAGACAATAGCCAATTGTGTTCATTATCTCTGAGTGTCTGACAATATTATAAAAAAGGTATAAATTGTAGTTTCATAAATTTAAGTTAACTATAAGAAATAATGTTCCAATAGTGGATGGATTATTGGAAGGGATTTTAGTTACCTTTCAAGATGGAATGATTTATAAGAGACATAAGCATAATGATATCACATTTAGATCATTAATTACTGTTGGTTTAGATGAAAATTTTTAGGCCCCAAATTAAAATGCCAAAAGGCCATTTTAACTATCACATCTAATCGATTACTTGAAGTTTAAATAATTTTTTTTGTTTTGTTTTGTACCCCTTTTGTAGGAGTAGTAAAAAGATAAACACTCCAGTGTTAATGGTACTTTGTTTATATCTAAAGAAAACATTGCTTAAGAGATTGTTTCTTAAATCTTTCTTGCATTAAAAAATGTGCCCACCTTCACACAGACCATCTTTGAAATAATAAAAGCATAGAGTAAAAATTTCAGAAGCTAGGAAAATTGTTTGAATTAGTTTCAAGGGCTGTGAGATAGCTCTAAATTGATATTGTTTTTCCTTCTCATTAACATGAACACATTTCGCTGTAGAAACGTTGTAGAAACACCAACGTGTTTCACTGCATCAGTGTATAATAGCAAACGCACCTTACTACTTTTCTAAAATCTAAAAAATTTTGTATTTCACAAGTCAACTAGATAAAGGATTTTAGACTTATACTCCAGGGGAGAGATGGTAGCATTGGAGATGGTGAAAAGTAGTCACACGTTAGATACAATTTGAAGGTGGGGCTGACAGGATTTCCTTATAGATTGATTTGGGTATAAAAAGAGTAATTTAGGAAGACTCTGTGTTACGTGGCCCTAGCAACAGGTGATGGAGGTACCATCACCTGGGGTGGGAAGGGCTGAGGAAACAGCCCTAAAATAGCTGTCCATAAATCTGTACAGCATGTTTGGGAAGAAGAGGAACAGTAATGGACATGTTGAGTTGGAGATACCTATTTTCATTCAATTGGAGAGGTTAAGCAGGCAACTGATACAGAAGACTAGAGTTCGGGAAATGTCTGGGCTGAACTTACATTCTTGTAGTATTTTCATCTTTTATTTCCTTTTGAAATATCTTTACAGTTTTTTCTCAGGGAGATGATATACACACATTATTTTAAAAAGCTCTGTTTTACAACTTCTTCCATTAAAAAAAATCATTCTAATCTCATAAGTATATACAGCTGTTTGCCAATTAAGAATCAATTTTAAAAAGCTATCTTTCAATATAAAAAAAAAACATTGCAGTATGGGGCTATTTGGAGGAGACTGCCAAATTATCACTATAATTAACATCACCTGAAAATTCATGAAATTAGGTGAGTTTGTTCTATTCTCAGACCTGTGGAAAATAAGGATAGTTTAAGAAATTATTATACCAGAAATGAAAAAATAAAGTCAATTAAGAAATGGTGTTGTCCTAAAGTTCTTTTCTGTTTTCATAGTGAAAACAGCTATTTGTTCTGAATTAAAAACTTAGAACCCTTCCCTTATTTGGAATATATGTTATAACCCCAAGACAGCAAGTCAAGAAGTGTCCAAAATGTTATCACATGTACTAATCTTAACTAGCAGCTATTGCTGAAGATGAACTGAGAGTGGAATTTAATTTTTGGCAGGAGTGTCTAAAGCCAGCAATGCTATCTGTGGCATGCAATAGCCTTGGCACAGGACCAAGGTAATACTTTCCGGGGGCATATCTCTAAGAGCACACTCTCTTATAAGGAATGTTCTCAAACATCACTGGAACTCTGGATTTTCCCAATTTTGTCCTGCTAACTTGTCCTGGTGACTTCAATGTTATTTTTAATTGATATGTGTGTTTGTATAGAGATAAATAATGGAAATAAAACAAGGCTGGAGTGCAGTGGCATCTCACAGCCACCCCAGTGTTGACCTGCTGGGCTCTGGTGATTCTTCCGCCTCACCCTTCTAAGTGACTGGAACTACAGGTGCGTGCTACCACACCTGGCTAATTTTTTTATTTTATTGTAGAGACGAGGTCTCACCATGTTGCCCAGGATAGTCTCGAACCCACAGGCTCAGGCAATTCTCTTACCTCGGCCTCCCAAAGTGCTGGCATTACAGGCTTGACCCACTGCACCCAGCCAGAGATAATATTTTTTAAATGTTCATAAAGATGTATTTTTTAATAATCATGAAAGAATATATTAGAGTATCTTTTTACATTAAATAGCCAGATTTTTGTGATTCTTACCTTAAGGCAGTAGAATAATATAAGTACCATAATTACTTAAGAACCCAGGAATAAAAATACTATTGCATGATCAAAAAGAGATGAAAGAAAGAATAAAAGAATAAGAGAGAGAGAGAAAGACAGTAGAGATAGAGAAAGGAAGGGGAGGAGAAAATTACAAATATAAATTTCAAAAAATAAACAGTTATGCACATATAAATGTAGATCTTAAGAGCTACCATCTAATTCCCAGGAAAATTATAAAAATTACCAAAAAAATATACAACCACATCTGAATTAGAGAATCTCAATCTCTCTTTAAATAAACATGGCCCAGAGGAGAAAATTTGAGAGTCACATACAAGCAAAATGCAGCTATAATTTTCTCTTTTAAATCATTACAACTGTCAGTATTCTTTTCATCTGGTAAAAATTTATAAAAATATTCAGTATGAAAGACACAAAGTTTAGCTCCATCATGGGGTAATGGGAAAAGGAAAATAGAAACCGGTGATGCACAAAGGAGAAGATAGGAGGAGAGAATGCAGAGAACAGGATTAATCAGTAAATTCACGGATCAGATAAAAGTCATAAGAGGCCAGGCTCGATGGCTCAGCCTGTAATCCCGCGCCTTTGGGAGGCTGAGGTGAGTGGATTGCCTGAGCTCGCGGGTTCGAGACCCGCCTGGGCAACTTGGTGAGACCTCATCTCTACAATAAATAAAAAAAATTAGCCGGGTGTGGTAGCGTGCGCCTGTAGTTCCAGCCATTTGGAAGGCTGAGGCGGAAGGATCACCAGAGCCCAGCAGGTCGAGGCTGCGCTCCACTGCACTCCAGTCTGGGCAACAGAGTGAGACTCCAACTCAAAAAAAAAAAAAAAAAAGTCGTAAGACTGCAAATTTTGATCTTCCTTCAAAACTCGCTTCTCTTCCTATGTACTCTATCTCCATTGGAGAAACCTCCCTTTACCTAGTCCCCTGCTAAAAATCTTAACCTAATCCAGTTCCAGCCTAGACCCAACCACAAGTTTACAGCTAATAATGTGGTAGCTGTCCAGCTGTTCTCATCTCTCCCCATGCGACCCTCTGGTTTACCAGCACTCTATTGCACACGCTATGCTGCTTTCTACTTCTTTGTCTTGGTTGTGATGTCCCTGCTAACTATAATGCCTTCTTTTTCTCATTCTCTTTGCCTTATTTCACTCAGGAAGCCCTCCCTTGGACCTCGAATACTTCCTACCCAAAAGATTGACTACAACTACATACTCCTTCTCTCTGCTCCCATAATATCCCACACAAATCTTTCTCACTAGCACAATATCCCATTGTCTTCTGGGTGACTGTCGTTGCCACCAGACTGTAACCCTTTCTGTTTTATCTTTATGTAAATGCAATGGCTAGAACAAGGCCTGCTTGATATTCAACAGAAACTCAAAAATGTTCACCGACTGAGTGAATGAACAGTTAGATTAAAAATAAAATGGCATGGACAGTAGTAAGTTTCCCATCCCTGGGAGTTTTCCAGTAAATCCAACTTTATGAAAATTCCTATATTGGATAAGAGCTGTGATCTACCATATGACTTTGTGATATTCCACCAATTTCTACACACTTTCTTCCCTACTTACCCAATTAGAATGATGCTTTACAGTTCTTTATAATATTTGTCAATAGGGCATATGATTTTATTAGCTAATTCTCTTTATTGAGTTTCATTCTTATTCAAGGCATGGCCTGTGTTTAAAATGTCATCACAAAAAGCCTATTAAAAATGTGCTAACTGAACATATGAGACTTACTGAACACATCTCCTCGGGGTTTTTGAGTGTCTGTCTGTATCCTGTTGTCAACTGTAATCCCTCCTGGAGATGTACTGGTGGCTGGTGCTATAGTTGTCAGTCTGGTGGCTGGCTTTTCTGGGGTTGTAGGTGGTGGAGGTGTTTTGACCTCAGTTTGCAGAGGTGGTGGTGGTGGTGGTGGAGTAGGCCGTGGTGTTGGTTTTGGTGTAGGTCTTGTTGTCGGCTTAGAAGTGGGCCTGTTGCTAATGACAGGAGGGATATATGGTGTCTTCAGAGGCCACTTAGTACTTCCGACATCAGGAATCCAATTACTATGTCCTCCGCCACCCTTTAAAATGGTACCATTTCCTTTCGATACATGAATTGGGCCTGAAGGCTCAATCATAACTTTCGGGATATCTGAAAGAGTCAAAGTTAACTTAGTGTGTAACTATCTCTCTTTAAAAAGTGAAACATCAAACTGTCAAAAACAGATACATGAAAACATGTCAACCAGACTCACTTTTCACATAAAGAATATTGCCTACTATATGTAAGTCATGATATTTTCAAATAACAAATTTGTGTATATACATATTATACATAGACACTCATATATTTACATATATTCATACCTTTGATGTAAGCAAAAAATATACTGATATTTGTATAATAAATATGTATTAACTGAAATATTAAAAAAGTTTTAAATATGTGTGGGGTAGAAACAGACAATAATCAATGAGATTTTTTAAATGCAGAAACATGCTAAGTTTATTTTTCTAAACAAAAGAAATGTATAGTGAGAGTCTATGTTGTGTCCCTAGGCTACATGTATACTATAAAATTATGTTTAGAATTGTCTAAAAACTAATACTTTTAGAATCTACACTTTATATGAATTCAACTCACAGAAAAACAGTTTGATTAAATATTTCATATATTAGTTTATAGTTGGTTTTTTTTCTCCCTTATTGACATATATCATTGCTTTCTAAAGATAAATTGTCAGAGGTTGCAAACATCATCTGTGGAATCTTTTTCCTTGATAATCTTCACCAAAAAGAATCCATTTTTTTTTTTTTTTTTTTGAGTTGGAGTCTCACTCTGTTGCCCAGACTGGAGTGCAGTGGCCGCTCCCAGCCACCGGAGCCTCGCCTGCTGGGCTCTGGCAATCCTTCCACCTCAGCCTTCCAAGTAGCCGGAATTACAGGCATGCGCTACCACGCCTGGCTGATTTTTTGATTTATTGTAGAGATGAGGTCTCGCTGCCCAGGCGGGTCTCAAACCCACGGGCTCAGGCAATCCACTCACCTCAGCCTCCCAAAGGCACGGGATTACAGGCTGAGCCACCGAGCCCGGCTAAAGAATCAATATTTAATCTGCCTGGAATGACTCCAGCCTGGGAATGACTACATGACCATTCAAAAACCCTTTAATCTCCATGATTTTATGCCCATGGTTTTCAGTAAATATTTTACCAAGAAATTTTAAGAATTGTCTACTTTTATATGAAATGTATGCTAAGTTATGACCTTTGGTTTGCTAAACTTTCATATTGAAGGGAATTTTTTTCATGTTCATCTCCTAACACAGCCATTAATCCAAATAAAACTTATATAACTCTTTAAAAGCAAAACAGTTCTGAATGTAGAGGAAATAGATATGGGAATGAGTTTTAAATAATATAGTCAGGAGACATAAAATGGAGAGACGAAAATGTAGAAAATATTCAGATTTTCTCACCATCAAAATCTTATGCTACAGACAAACATTGATTTCTGTTTTTAACAAAATCAAATCTTAGGAAAGGTGCTATAATTTCTTTCTAGCTAGAGGGAAGCTATTGAGTGATTGTAGACAAGAAATACAAATGCTTTTAAGATTTAGAATGTATTACTGACTCTAGTTTTTAAAAAATACCTGAGCAAGTGATTTTAGCATTTGTGTAAAGCACAGATAAATACTCCTGTTATGAACATTATGCTTACTTGATAATTAATCTTATTCCTTATCTTCCCAAGTAATGGCTTTTGTGAATTCTGTATTTCCTGCTGGAATTTAGAATGGGGAGATAAGTGTTACTCACATATGCAACTTAGTCCATCACCATGGTATCCTTCCTTGCATTTACACTTGTAGGACCCATGTATGTTGTAACATCGAGCAAAGCTGCTGCACTGATACTGACCAAGAGAGCATTCATCTATGTCTGCATCAGGAAGTAGAGAAAGAAGAGATTTATTTAGGAGATAAATATGATGGCATAAAAATAAATACAATTTCAAAAAATTATTTTTTCGGTCAATGTGATGGTCCATGTAAAATCCATATAAAAGATAAACAGAATAAAGCCCATGTAGATCCAGAATTACTAGTGGTTTAACTGGATGTCTTTCGGTTTAATTTCATGCCAGTACCTCCCCTGTCCCTGACATCCCAGCAATCACCAAAATTAAGAGACCTTTCAGTGTTACAGGAAGAAACAACAAAGCAATGGTTGGGTTTTATTACCATGACATTGATATTTGCCTCCAATGTACATGAGGTCGAAGCCTTTATGACACTTGCAAATGTAACTCCCAAAAGTGTTGACACATTGCCTAAATCTAGGGCAGGAGGCTCTTCCAGCAGCACATTCATCAATATCTAGAAACATAAGTCAACAGCATCTTAGGAAGAGCGAGGGCATGTTCAGACAGAATGGGGTTTAAAACAAATAACAACTGCCATCTACTGCCTGGCATATAGTGGCTCATCATAAATGGTATCCAGCTGGTTGCCCCCACAGGCAACACAAATTCCACATATTCAGACTTCAGCTCATCCTCCTATACCAAGTTGTTTTACACTGCACCTGTATCCACCTACTTGCTCCAACAAGAAAATGATTCATCTTTGACAACCTGCTTTCCCTTAACTCCTAAATCAAGTCCAGCTAATTCTACCTCGAAAACATGATTTGAATCTGTCTATTCTGCTCTTCACCCACTGTCACAACCCTATTTGAAGCTGCCATGTCCTGGGTTACACAGTTAGAAAAGTCTTCAAATTGATCTTTTCACTGCTTTTCCTACTCACTGTCAAATCACTTCATTAAAACGTAAGATCGGATCATAACTAAGCTTAAAATTCTACTCATTTTTTGAATTAAGTCTGCATTCTCCTCCATACCTTTGAAGACCCTGCAATAACTAGCCCTCATCTGACTCACCAGTTATATCTCAAGCCACCATCCTTCATTTTCACACTCTATTTGAGCCATTTGGTCCTTCTTTCTTTAAAAATCTCACACAGGCCACCCTTCTCCCATTACAGTGTTCTATAATATTTTCTCCTGTGTGGCTGGTTCTTCACAAGGCTAAGGATCCAGGTCTTTAAAGTTTTCCTGATTATAATTTTCTGTAATGTACCTGTTCTGATTTTTTCTCTTTTAGTACCTCGTGTTGACACTTAGCATGGTCTATAATATTATTGAGTATTTGTTTCTTTTCTATCTCCCTATTAGAATGTCAGTTTTGTCCATTACTTTACATCCTAGCATTTAACATAGTGTCTAGATTACATAAAGTACTCAATAAATATCTCCTGAATCACCGAGTACCTTCATTCATTCAGTGTTTACTACATGCTAGGTACTAAGCCCTTTGCATACATGATTCCATTTGATCCTCATAACTGTTCTATACGGCATGATTCCCATTTTGAAAATGAGACCCAAGCTCAGAGAAAAGAAGTCTCCTGCCAAAGATTACATATCAAGTATATGGCAGAGCCTGGTTTAAAACTAAAACTCTGACACTTAACCATAATCATATACTGCCTTCCTGATTTAGTAGAAAAATCTGACCCCTGAAGTGCAACAAATGCAATCTAGTCTTGTCTACCTGTTCAGCTTCATCATTCATTGCTCCCTCTTGCCTCTTACATGCTGGAAATAACTGAGCTCTTCTTGTTTCCCTGAACATTGTGCTCTCTTGAACTGCAGGGCCTTTGCCCATGTGGTTCCCTCTGCCTGAGATTTCCTCCTATCCCTCATTTTTAGGAAAACAAGGCTTCCATAGTCCACTCACAGAGAGACGTCCTCTCCTGAGACATCTGACATATTCTGAAGGACAGCTAATTACCTGATGTAAGTAATTTCCTTTGTTTCTTATTCCCAACACCTGTCACCTTCTTCCTTTATCCCACAGAGGCTGTTGACAGAGAGGCTTGATTTTACAACTCACCCACACAGGTCCTCCCATCAGGAGCCAGCTGCAGCCCAGGAGATGGGCATTGGCAGCGTACATGTCCTTTGACAACATCACAGCCATACTGACAGTTTGCCATGGAGCATGTCAGGGCACCTGGAAAGAGAGCAACTGGCTGACTCAGAAAGGTGGAAGAAAGAATCTGTTGCTGAAATAACCATGTATTTCACTTGTTCTGAAATCAGTGACATGGAATAAACAATGAAGACAAAGAGGCATCAATTATCCAACATTCTCAAGACAGCAAAAAATGGGGGAGGGACAGAAAGACCCCCTTTATCCAAGAATGATTAAGAAATAAACTAGCTCTGTCATCATCTGAAGAATACCTTTAATGCTTTTGATACATTAAAAGACAAATATAAAACTTTACCTCACACATATTTTCTGGAAATTTCTCCAGTGGTCAAGCAAGTGAAGAACTGAGATATTTTTCCAGATTACTTAAGCTAAGTGCCATTCTTAACTAAAACATCCAAGTAACTGTCTCAACTGCCTATGGAATTCCTCTAAGAAACAGTGGATTTCCCATTGAGTTGCACAATGTTAGAGGATTCCAGCATCACTGCCATGAGCTATTAAGCAAGTACTCACCTCATTCCAAAAAGTTCCATGCTATGCTTATGCAATGATAAATATAATTAGCTAAGTTTTTATTTTCTAAAATGCAACCCAGTTAACTGACCCAGTTAACCCAGTTTTTAGTTTATTTCTTAAAAATCAAGTCCTCACTTGTTGGATATCATAGGAATACAATCTCAATTTGGTTTTCAGCTTGTAGAGCATTTTAGGGCATTGTCCTTCTTATAAACACATCCAAATGATAGTAGGAAACACATATTTCTTTCTTACAAAGATACACATGAAATCTACTTTTCTGGTATCATGTTCATTTATTTTATTAATTTAAAATAGTTTTCTTAAAGGTAGGCTATTATAAAAGCTTAAGTCTTTAGAATATTATAATAAAATATAAAAATGAAGTGAGAAGGTATTTATGAATGATTTCAAACCACTCAACAGACCTGATGAGTTCTATCCAAGTTGTCCCCCAATAGTCACTAATGTTCCTTTAAAAAAAAAAAACCTGGAATAGTTCTTCTATGCCCAGATAGAAGATGGATAAACAGGTTGGGCAAAAAGTTAGAAAATAAACTTAGTTTTGAGATTCTTTTTCTAAATACCATTTCCTAATCAATATGATATTGGCACTCATGGTAAAAGAATGTTATACATCTAAAATGGTAACTCTTGTTTTGATTTTCAGTTCCTCAGGCACATATATAAACACATGTACACATCTTGCTTATGAGGGCCACTGTCACCAAAGCAGGTTACAAGAGCACAGTAGAAATCAAGCCTAAAGCACATATAAAACAGTTAAGATTCTTGACATACTTGAGCAGGAACCATCCGGCATAAGCATATATCCATTGAGACAGTAGCACTTGTAGCTGCCATAAGTGTTCATGCACCTGTGCTTACAGGGCCGAGGCTTCAGGCCACACTCATTTAGATCTGAAACAAATGTGGGTTGAAACAGAAAAATCACAAAACCTCAGCACTAATGTAAACCATTTAAAATTCTTTTCGATATTAAAAAAGTAACAGGAAAGTAGGTCAAGCTATAGTAACTGTCATTCGTATAAGAGAAAAAGCCTGTGAATGCAATACCAATGTGAAGGTTGGTTACACTAGGGACAACCAGGAGTTGCCACAACTTTTATGGATCCCTTTCCATGAAAGACTAGAAGATTCTCCTCGCAACAGGTGCCTACCTTATCATCTCTAGAAAAAGCAGCATACGAACCTCTTCATGGGTAGATGCGCTCTATCATCTATCATGTATCTGACTGCCAATATTCTCCAAATATCTGTCTTCTATTACTAGATTCACTCCTAAAAACTGTAATAATATTCTTTCAATGTCTTCTTTTCTCTGTTTAAAGAATATACCACATGAGTATATTTTGCTTTATAAGAAGTACACAGATTTTAAATCATTTGACTGTTTTGACCTTTTCAAAGGAAAGCTATGTTTTCAGAGGATAAGGACTACAAAAATTAAGAGTGATCATTATAGTGTTTTTTCTCGTTCAGTTTTGTAGATTTTATAGTGATCTCAGATTAAAAAGAAACTTCAGTTTCCTACTTTAGCAATGCATTCAAGTCACAAAATGAACTTAAAAACAAACCTGCCAACATATTTTCATTCATTCAGCAGTTAAGAAGGGCATATGGAAATACTAATGAACAAATATAATGGACTATTATGTATTTTAGGTTTATTGGTTTAAATATCAATATGAAATGAATTAATGAATTTCACATTATGAAGATGTTCTAACCCAAGATGAACACTGCCTCAAGTGAACATAAAAACTCATAATGGCAAATAAGCATTGAGATAGTAATGCCTCAAAAATATACTTCATTAAAAAGAAAGAAGACCACATGTTTGTTTTGTCTGGAAGCACCAGAACAAGTATCTAATTAGCATAATTTAATTAGCTATTAATCCATGTCATTAAATAAGAAATATAGAGAATATATCTAGTTACAAAGTTATTTTCAAATGGAATCAAACTTAAATCTGGTCCGCTTGTGTATTAGAAATCTACATATTTTACTTAACTAAACCACTAAGTTACATTATATTTTAAAACCACCATATAATTATTTCATCTAAAAATTGTTTTGACTCTCTTATTGGTTTCCAACTTGGTCTTTTTTAATGCAACTGTAAGCAGATCCCCAGCTGGATAAAGTCTGGAAAGGTTAAATAAACAAACCAAATACCTTTGTCATCTCTTATGCTTTCTTCAATTTGCTACTTTCTTGTCTCTTGCCCAGTCAAGGGTTTTCAAAACAGAATTACATTCTAAAATATTTCCCCAAAAAAGTTTCCTCATAGAAGTTGCTTTGCAGATTATATTATCAAAAATATTTATTTCTGTTAATGGAAGTAAAAATTAAGGAGGAACAACTGAGTAAGAAATTCTCTCACCTTCCCATATTCTTCTACCTTGTATTTCAATATTTATTAAAAATTAAAGTCAGGGAGTCTTTTCTCATATTCTAAGAGAAGTTAATTATCATTCCCAATATTGTCCTGCAAAGTGTCAGCTGTCTTTGATAAAATCTTTGATTGAAACTATAGCAAATTGTATTTAATCTGAGTACACTGTTAGAGAAAGGCTTTGTGTTTTAAATATTTTTCTGCACTAAAAATATAATGAAAACTCCACAAGAAAACAATAGAGTAAGACTTAATTCTGTATCTCAAGAGGATATTGACAGATATTTTTTTAAGTGTCAATAAAGAATCCCTAGGTTTATTTTTAAAGAGTCACAGAAACTTTTATGGGTCCTTGAAGGGAACTGGTCAGATATTTATACCTCCAGGCCGCTCATAAACAAGTAGCATTTATGCTGATGGAACTTCCTTCTGACACTATGTCTATGGACTAAAGCTGAACTTCCGTTGAGGCAGCTCTTCCACAACCTAGTTCCAGTCTGGACCAATAAAGGGTCCCTTAGGATTGCTATGGGTATTTTCATGATCCAGATTAGAGCTGCCGGTGGTATTAGAGACGAGCTTCAATTCAAATTTGTCCTTCCCCTCCCATGGTAAAAATACTTGGGGTTAAGAATTGTGAAGCTGAAAGGAAGTAAAAAATCTGGGAATCACTGTGTTAAACAATATGGGAAAGGAAGAAAACATGCAACATTCAATGGTTAAATGTAGAGACATTTACTGGTTTTTTAATTATTTACTGTTTAATACCTGCTACTAAACTGGCATGTGTATCCAAACATATGGAAAGCAATTTGAGAAAGCTGAACTCTCACAGCTGTGGTGGACGTGATGACTTTTTCTGACAGTTGGTTGGTGTTGAGATCCCCAGTGACTGCCATCATTGCCCCATCTGCCACAAGCAGGTGTCTCCTAAAAACTTCACAATGACCCTTACAAAGACCACTGCAGAAATTATCAAATGGGATTCCACAGTATGCATCCTTATCAAAATTTGCCAAATATCAGACTTTTCCTAAAGGACAGAGCTTCAAAAGATTAAATGCATGTGGTGTCCCGATGAGGCACCCTTTTGTCCTCAATTTTCTTGAGAGCTTCTCTTCTATAATTGTTACCTTATTTTCTTATTGACCTAGTGCTTTATTATATGAGCTAATATGTGCTGCTTCCAATTACTGCTATATTCAGTATTACACTTTGTTGCAACTACAGACTAAAAACACACTTGTGTTACTGTAAATTAAGTCAGAAATTCAAAAATGACACTTCCAAATTATGGTAAATGCTCCTGTAATAATAAGCATAACAAAGTAAAGACATCAATCATTCTGTATCAAATAAATCTTAAAAGTTGGTAAGAGAACTTAGGAAATAAAACTTTGGTGTTTTTATTTTAAATTTACTTTAATCTTTCTTTTTCTCTGAAAGTTTATAATATAATAAAACCATAAGAAAAATCTATATAAAAAACGTAATGAATTCTATCATGTACCTATTTTATTATACCAAAGGATAGAGCTTTCTAATTAAGCCACTTACATTCAAATGCTTTAATTATTAGGTCTACAGTAAAGAACATCTATTACCATTAGGAGTACATTTAGGCAGGTTGGTGGACTCAGGAGCTTGGATGGAAGAAAGGGAAAGGGAGAAGGGAAGGGGTCCAGAACAGAAATGCAAGCTGCATAGCATTATTATTACACATCAGGAAAAAGGAATCAGAAATTTTATTAGCATGCAGACACCGAAAAGTAGCTTGAAAAATCTGGAAGAGACTCACTGAATAAGATAACCCAATGGATTTTTAAGAAATATAAATTTTCATTATGTTAATGCATTTGGACTTTTTCCTCCTTTAATGTGTAAACTGGGCAATGTTTCAGAAATCTAAGCTTTTAAATTTTATCTGACTGAAGCAGAGGTCACAGGTAAACAGCTGTCGATATGTCAACTACCATAACTTTTATTCTTTAAATTACCAATGACTCGGAAATGAATTCCATTGCCCTAATTCCTTGTGCAGAAAATATACAAAAACACCAAGTTCCCTATCAGCAGAGACAATGATTAATCATTCAACTATTTTAATTCAGTTAATCTAAGTTCCTAGACTTATGAGTGGGTGAAGGATAAAGTCTCTTAGAAGAGGGACTGTAAAATTATGCTACCACCTTGCTTTTCTGCAAAACTTTCCAGCATAATAAAGAGATTAATATTTTTGGTGTTTCTATTTTCACATCAACTATGCAGGCAAACAGGGCAGGAATTACTGTCCTCCTATTACTGATTGACTTCTTAAAACCCAGACACATTAAATGACTTGCTCACAAACAGCTAATTAAGTGCCAACCTGGAATCAGAAATTAGGCTTCCTGATATTATTAACTGTATACCCAAAGGAAGATGCTAATATATGGTTTGATTTCCAGGTAACCTAAACTCTACACCTGAAGTAAATGGTGGTGGGGGAAAAACCTCAATCTTTTCTAAAATCTACTTCATAAAAGGTATAAAAAACCCAATTTCAGAATGCTTTGGAATTCCAGACTTTACCTACATATGAAAGAAGTTATTTTGGTATTTGATTTTTAGAAATATTTCAAAACTCAGGAAAGAAGAGGAGAAGCAATGATATTGGATGCATTAAAAGGATGGTGGAGCTCCGTGCTCCTGCTGCTTGCTTTACATGCTCAGGGATGAAGGCTGGGCTCTCCTAGGCAGTCCTCAGAACATTTGCAAGAAGTGACAAACTGCAGGAAGCTGTGCAGGTGGGAGGAGCAGACCACCTGAGAAAATACACGCTCACCCCTTGAAGGTAAACTTGTGACTTGACGATCCAGGGGTTGGAAAAGAGGCTGCTCAGTGCCTTGGTCAAGAGAAGTTGGGGAGTGCTCGTCTTCACACCAGGAAGAAGGTAATAAGAGTCAACTTTGAACTGATGTCATTTTTAGCCCTAAAAATCTTTACAAGTATACATTAAACAATTACACAAGTTGGTGGAGTTTTAAGAGAATGCTTTACAAAATAGTTTCTGGTTCTTCTGGTTTCTCTTTTTCTTTCATTTTTATTTTCTTAAAGCTTTATCACTGTTATCTTGCTTCCTAAGAACACCGCATACATTAAAAATTAAATTAACACATTATAAATTAACAATCCATCACTCTCATACCATTAAAAAAATCAAGAAGAGATGGTCATTTTTTAAACCATGATTTAGGAAAGAAAAAAACAAAGAAACCAAATTATACATTTGAAGAAAAGAAGAAAACAAACAAAGAAAGAAGAAAACAAAGAAGAAAGAAAAAACAAAGAAACTAAATTATAAAGAAGAAAACAAAGAAACCAAATTATACATATATTGACCATAATCAAACTACTCTTTCGAAAAGTAAGGCTGTAGGTAATTATCTTAGTATTAGGGCTAAAGCACTTAGATAGTTGTGCTCAGCAAAGTAATCAACTTTCAGATGTAACTAGTCTACCAAAAATTTAATGTCTGGTTCTGTGCCACAAGACTCCAGTTCTTTTCTTGGGATAAATAATTCAATATATAAAATATAAACTATGCCAAAACATTAGTAATTGACATTTATAAACAGTCCTTCCTAACTTATTATAAAGCTCACTGTAAATTAATAAGAATGTCTTTCATTCCTGAAAACATGCAATGATATATTTACATACTAAAAATCATTCCCCACTGGGAAAGTTATAAAAAGATTATTATCTATAATAGCATTTTTTTTTTTTTTGGTCTGGAGAGAAAGGGGATTTGTACGGGTACAGAAACACATGGCAAGGGAAAATATGCATGAATAAAATTACCTGAATTGTATCCTATATCTTTAAAATTAAAATAAAAAGAAAAAGAAAGTAAGTAGGGAGGTGGAAGCAAATGATCAAAGAGAATCTTTCCAGAATCTGGGTTAGAATTTCATCTTCTGTGAAAGGTAACATGTGCCATGTTAATGATCAACCCTAGCTTATGATTTTATATCTGATCTAGGTATAACAAATCCAGAAAATGACTCAGAAGAGCAAGCCCACAGCAGAGCACGCTGAGCCTGTGACAAGGCTGTTCAATTAAGCTAGTTCCAAAGTGCAGCCTTCTCTGCTATTCTGGGTCCTCCCCAGGCAGCTCTAAATGGCACTGGATAAGTGCTTGTCATTTATTCAAGTTGTTTACTCCACCAAGCAAGTTTTCAGGGGATTATCTCTTAAAGTACATAACTGGCAACAAAATTGTTAGTGAATACTTGCCTTATACCAAAACCTCCTTTTAATCAAAAGCTAAATTCCAGTTCTGTGAAATTATTTCAAATTTACTTCTTGACATTTCTCTCCTCGAGAAAAAATAAACCTATTTTGTTTCCTATATCTCTGAGGTATGTTTTCAACTTTATTAAAATGTATGGGACTGGATAAAAACAACTTAAATTAATCTGTTATGTAGCAGCCATGGACAATTTGATCTAATAACTTTTGGGAGTCTCTTGGCAGCCCTCACACTAACCCAGGTCAACCACAAAGCCTCTCTCAACCTGCAGGATTCTCAGTCCATGGATTCAGAGACAGTCTAATACTATACCAGACAACTGAGGGAACTCTTTCAAGTTCCTACAGCATTCAGGAACAGTCATTCATTTAACAAATATTTAGTGTGCACTTACCATGTGCAAGTCATTTTAAAAGTAGTTTCAGGAGCTGTGAAATCAGAGACACCACCAAGTGTTTCTGCTCTCAAGGAGCATAAACTTTGCCACCAGGAGCCTGATATGCTGCTTTTTTTTTTTTTTTTGTAAAAAGGGCAAAGAAAAAAATGATTAAAACACCTAAGTGTACTCTACACTCTAGTGTTATTTGCAAGATTGGACTAGAAATTATATGTCCAGGGTCAGCACATTTTTCCAGATGTATAATACCATTTTGCTACTATTGAAATTCTCTTCTCCCACAGGAATATGGCTTGGGAAGGATTGTAACTTGGTATATTCCTTTTTTTTTTTTTTTTTTTTAGAGAAATACATATATGTACAGGAAAAAATACAAGGTAAACTGGTTTTCTGAAAATAAGAGATATCCAATGATAAAATTTTATTCTAACAATAGTTTTAATGTCTTTGAAGCATGTTAAAGTTGATGTAACTCCTGCAAATAAGTTTAAATGAATTTCTCTGCAATCACAAAAGTGGTTTCTTTTAATACTTTTCTTTATGTAACGTCCTGGTGTTTGGATGACAAAGTTTTATGGTGATGACATATTAATGAAACTTCTGAGGGTTTATGTTTACCACTTAAAAAAAAGAAATATACTGGAATTCTAAGATAAACGCTGATAACTCAATAATTCAAATCTAACATGCTGCTACTTGTAAACTTAGGCTGGTAAAGGAAAATCAAGTGAATTTTTTAAAAGGTTAAGTTGAGATAATAAGCACACTACTAATTTCAGAAAGACTAACTCAGGCATATTTGGCTAATTTCAAGTTAAAAAAAAAAGGCTGTAAAATAGAAAAAAAAGCAGTAGAAAAATCAGTTCTCAATCAAATAGCAGATAATATAAGAACATACTTTAAAATAACACTTTCTTCTACCAAGGGACATGCCATATTTTACAGCAAGGATTTCACGTGATGGCTCATGAATAATTACATATACTTCCAAAAAAAATCTATGTTCTGGATAAATTATAAAAACTACATCTATAAATTACTTAGTTTATGTGACACACCTCAAGGAGTATCCTGGAATGAGTATCAGATACTAAAAAACATAAGTAGTTCAATAATATCATTTCTGTATCAGATGAGGTCAAGTATCTAAGAGGTAGTTATATGTCACATTATTATTTCATTTAACATTTAAAATTATAGGAAGTATAATTTGAGAAATAAGTAAAAATTAATTCATCCTTTTAATCTAACCCTAACTTTTCTTTATTTCTAGCTTAACTCCCAATAATAGGAATTTGGGGCTGAATTTAATTAAAAAGACAAGTCTTGTCTGACTTGTTAGCATGAGTCAGAGGATCACATTTCCAATTATATCTTCGTCATCCAAAACTTTTATAGTAGAAAGAATATGGATTATATAGCTCTAAGTTGACATACTAGCTCTTTTATAAACTAATTCTGTTAACTTGGGAAGATAACATCCCTGAATGTCATTCTCTCCAACTGAGAAATATATAACACTCTACCTCCTAATGTTGTTGTAAGGATGCAAATAGATAATGTATATAAGGTGCCTATTTATATATATTGGGACACTGAGTGTTTTATAAATGTTTGCTTTTATGAACAATCAATACTAGTTGTTTATAAGTCACTTGCTAAATTAATTTGTCAGAGCACATTCCAAACTGGTCAGCAGTTGAAGGGAGATTTAATCACAGAATCAAAGAGCTCAGAGTTGGAAGGAACTTCCAGATTTCAACTCAAACCCCCTACCTGGTGACTGGCATTAAAGATCTGGGATCTGAGGTGGTTAAGGATTTGCCCACGGCTTCTCATCTAGTTAATGGAAGAACAAGTAATACCAGAAGGCTTCTACATTACTGATACTGTGATTCTCTTCTTCAAAATAAATTTTCATTAGTATCAGAGCATAAGGGGATACAATCTGTTTAATTTTCCTTTGATAAAATAAACCTGACAACATTTAATATTGTTATATTTTTATCTATTAGCAAAGTGGCATCTCATATATTTGGGAAAAATAGCTATGGAAAGTAGTTTGAAGTGAGAATTAAATATTTTTAATTTGGCAGAAACAAAGGTGGCTTATGGTTGTGTATTTGTGTCAGATTGTTTTCATACCTTGATTGCAGGTTTTTCCAGCATATCCAGGATGACACTTGCACTTGTTTGGTCCGATACATTCGCCATGTTTGCATCGTGGTTGGCACACAGCTGTGAAAAAAGGACACTATGATTATTTTCAGGCTACCAGAACACCAATTATATGGCAGTGATGTCATGGACAAGTTTAATAATAAAAGACAGAAACTAGAATTTATAACAAAGTAGCAGAAATATACAAAATTAGTTTCCTATAAAACACTGCTTGTACAACACACATATTTTATATATTATATATATTACATATATATGTAGGGGTGTGTGTGTATGTTGTGTGTGTGTGTGTGTAACATTCAGGGCTGGAAAACTCTCTAAACTTGAGGATAATACTTCAATAGTAAAAAAAGAAAAAGAAAAAACTAGGCAAAATCATACATAAATGTAACTGATATTTGTCTTATAGTTACAAATTTGCAATAACTTGCACCCACAATCTCAAATTCATTCTCTTAAATACACTTCAGAAAGTAGTCCTTAGTCCAAAGATATTAGATATGAATGAAATCCAGATACCTTTGTATTAAACAATAAAATACTTATTTTACTAGAAGTGGTATTTCTAAGCATGAAATGATTCAAAATGAAACTAAAACTAATATGACATTTTTTGTAACTTCAATTTAAGGGTATTTCTGTCATCTTGATCTTTCTTAACCCTATGATTCATCAAAGTTGCTCTGCAATCTATAGCAGCTTTTCTATGTCCTATCATAGCAAATAGGAAGTTCTTAGTTCAATATTTACTCTTTTCCATCAACTGAGCTCCTCTTCCCTTAATACCTCAAAATGCTATAAATTCCCACTCAAGTATTTTCACTGTCTAATTGGAATTTGTTTATATCAGTGGTTCTCAACTGAGGGTACTTTTGCCCCTGGGGGACATTTGGCAATGTCTGGAGATACTTTTGCTTATCATACCAGGAAGGAGGCACTACTGGTATTTAGTGGGTAGAGGCCAGGGATGCTGCAAAACATCCTAAATGTGGGTTGAGTTAGACAACCCAGCCCCACAACGAATTACTAAGCCCAAAATGTCATAGTGCCAGTTGAGAAACCTTGCTCTATACCAAGTATGTGTACTGTATGTCATTATGCCAGATACTACATCAGATGAAAAAGAATTGTATCATGTGATTTCTGGAGCCCATAATCTATAAATGCAGAGACAAAACCACATGCTTTTAATTCAAGGTGACATTTTTGCAAATGTGGGACATATTTGAAATCTGTGAAGAAAATCACACAAACAAATCCATATATGTTTGTATAGAAAACTTCATAGAAGAGGCTTGCTTTGGATCTTGAAGCACGGATAGACAGAAAAGGAAGCCGACTACTAATGGAGAAAAGAAATTACACAGCATGGTAGAGCATTATTTAGTTAGGGGATACTAGGAGGCTGCTTAAACTAAAGAGATAGATAAATGCTGGCAGAAGAGTAAGAAAGACTCATAGGTGAGTAGTAATCAGATGATGTTGTTCCCTAAATTTCAGATTGAAGAATATGCACTTCACCAGTAGGAAATGGGAAGCTTCTGTAAAATTATCATCATCAGGAAAATCACCTGATAAAAATCAAAGCTCTGGGAGTATTAGCACGGGAATGATACATAGGATGACCGGGAGAGAGTCTAGAGGCAGAGAGAGCAGTTAGAAGATTAGTGAATCATTCAGGTCTGATATGAGGAAGGCAGGATTTGTGTTGGCCATAGGAAGATGGGCTTCAGTGATCACTGAGTGAAGACCAGACAGACCTTGAAGACCAAGGGGAACAGAATAAACAATGCCCCTGAGGTTTTTGTTTTGCTTGGTTTGAGCTGGGGGTCTCACTATGTGACCCAGGCTGGAGAGCAGTTGCACAATCATAGCTCACTGCAACCTCAACCTCCTGGGCTCAGATGATTCTCCTGCCTTAGCTTCCTGAGTAGCTGGAACTACAGAATTGTGCCACCACACCCAGCTTTTTTTTTTTCTTTTTAAGAGATGAGGTCTTGCTATGTTGCCTAGGCTGGTTTTAAACTCCTGTGCTCAGCAATCCTCCTGCTTAAGCATGGAATTACATGCTTAAACCTCCATGCTCAGCCAACAATGCCCCTGAGTACTGAAGCTCTTGAAACCTGTTCCTTTCCCTATTTACCCCCACTGTTTTCCACTCTGGGATATGCTCCCAGCTCCCTCTCTGATAAGTCTCAAACATCATTTCCTTTAAAACTCGATCACTCCTGCAAGCTTGATGTGCACATTAATTTTGTTGTTTTCTACCTTTCTTCACTCGACTCACTAATCCTCCCCTCACCAGGCATACCACAGGGCTTCTTTGCTAACTTTACTTTCAGTCCTTTCTATCTGTTGATTTGTTATCCCAACTGGATCCTGCAGCACTATAAACCCTTAGATGGTGCAACATAGGAGGAATTTAAATGAAAACTTGCCAAGAGAAAAGATGAGCACAGTGTAACTGGTGGAGAAATACACTTGGAAAATTTTTGAAATGTGATTTTAAATGTGGCATTAAATTCAAAGGGAAACAATTTTGTTCAGATCTATGAAAAGAAATGCACTGTCCAGGAGGGCATTCCAGTATGATTTTTCAGTCAATTATACACCTGGCAGATGGTTTATATGTTGTTTTAAAAACAAATTCCGGAAACAAGCCACTCTTTATGTAATATCCAGGCCCCATCACCATGAAATGAAAGTTCAAAAGAAAATGTTTTAATACTAAAAGAGAAGTTCCATAACTCTTAACATTTATGTATGAATACAAACTGAATAATCAAATATCACTAAGGCACACAGATTGCCATATTTAAAAAGAAAAAGTAAATACTGAAGATCATTAAATGCGAGTCTGGGTAATAACTGCCTAAAATAATTAAAATTTGAAAAGTATCTCTAAAATATTAAGAAGTAGTTGAGAAAATGCCACTTAAAAACATGAAAAGGTTTACTTAGCACACTTTATGAAACCATTTAACTTCAGGCCCCCAGGCTGTGTTGCCTTTTGACCCCCAGACCAGTTTGATGGCCATTCATTTATAGTACTTTCAGGTGTTTTATAAGAACAAAAGTGTTTATTGTTCCCTCTTCCTTTTTTGTTGTTTGTTCTCAGGAGAGTGCCCTAATCTTGGGCATGTCAAATACACACATTCCAAGAGGCCAAGACTGTTAATGATTCTTCCAAGTTTAGGGAGTCAATATTTCAAAACCAACTGCTGTTTGCACTTCCATCTGACAGACTATTCACTGAATAAACCAACAATCCTCAGATTAGTCAACAGCTATTAAATGGGATAGGATACTCATAACACTGATATAATCAATTTCTTTCCTCTTACAAATAGAAACTTTTTGGAAAATGTGGCACAATAGGACTTTCTCCTATGACATTGGAGACATTAGGTCTGGAATGGACTTCAATAAACATGTATCAAACTTTTGTTATATACAACGTGTTATACCAGGTACGTGTAGGGAAATGAAAAAGTCCCAGAGGATATGAAAAATTAACTTTGGAACTATAATGTATTGGCTAAACCATGGCAAGGGCAATGATAGAGATGGCAGAACAAAGGAGGGTAGGTAATAATTGCAATTGCAGGTTTTGGAAAGGCTTCATGTATGAACTGTGGTGTGAGCAACATGCTAGAGGCAAGAGCAGTTGGGATAGAAGACAAAAGACTTTCAGAATATGAGCAAAGCAGTGGGAAGAGTTGGTAAGGGGATCACACCTCAGAGGATACCAAGTGTTTTTGTGGGGCTACAGTATAAAGTGTTTAAAACAGCAGATGAGATCAAGAGAAAGGGTAAGAGATCATAAAAGGCCAGCAGGATTCTGATAAGCATCTATCTTTCCCTTCTGCTTTAATATGAAATGCATTTTTCATTTGTATATTTTGAATGGGAGATGAGCTAGCAATGAAAAACTACATTTCCTAACCTCTTTGGCAGATACAGGCAGTCAAATGATACAGGCAGGCTAAACGGCAGAAAATCTGAAGTTATTGGGAGGGGCTTTTTCAGTGCTGGGTAAGGAGTGAGCTGAAGGGTGTGCCTTCCTTGGTCTTCCTGCCTAGAATGCGGAGGTCATGGCTGAACTAACTGTGACCTCTTTATGTTCATGAAATGAACTTGAGAATGGAAAGAGGGTAGAGCAAGAAGTCACATTAACCCCAAATCGTCATCCTAGCAATCTTGGGCACTGTTCTTTGCGCCACTACTACTTGCAGCCAAATACAATTCCTATCAAGCCAGCAAAGGTTTCCTTCGGATATAAACTTAGAATAGAAGTATTATGAATGGATCCGAGTTCAGAAATAAAAACTGTCAAATTCATTTTATACCTATAATAGCATATACTCATGGGAGTGTGAAAAAAAACACTTCATTTCTAAGTAACTAGATTAGAAAGTACATACCCATCTCAAAACTAGAGAAAAATAACCCCCAACTTCTATATAAACCAACTCACCATCTAATAACACACTCTACTGTAATGACAACTCTCAGGGGAAGGTACAAACCAGCCTTTACAACCTGTATTACTCTGCAAATAGCAGGTCTTCACCCCCTCTCCCCCCACACACAAGAAAAAAAAGGATAAGTGCTTCATTTTCAGTGATTCATTTTCAAGTGGCCTTCTAAAACATCAAAAACAGATAATACAATTGATTCGGAGGAAACAAAGTGCCTACTGTGCTACAGGTCAATCAGAAAAGGCAGTATTGCTTCTCTGACCACGGCTCAGGAATAAGAAGCTTGGGCCATATTTGACAGCCCACTGTCCCTGGCATCCAAAGATGGTTTAGCAGCTTAATAAAGCTAATATAAAGTCCAGGTAAAGATCACAGATAATCAATGGATGACAGATTTTCCCCAAAAAATATCAGTTGCCAGAATTAAGTCCGAATGGGCAATCATACTCAAAATTTACTCTCTAACTTTCCTGTAGTATTATCTCCAAAGTGCCCTTAAAATAACCTCCAAGACATTGCTTTAACTAGAAAAAGAAACAAGTCTCAACTGGCAAAGCAAACATAGCTCTTTAATGT